CTCGAAGCGAGTCTGAGGTGAATGATTCACCTTGATTGCATTATGTTCTCGAAGAGAAAACCGGGTAAAACATAGTGAAATCGGTGTCTTGACTACCTTAACATTTTGTTTTGAAATGAATAAGTGAAACCATTCAAGAAGGTGCTGCTAAAATACTTATGAATTGAGAAAAGTTTTAATTACATGAAACCACGTCTTTTCCAAGAAAAACGCACTAAATGCAGATCGAAAAACTCCGTTCGAATGCATAATAGTAAACGCATTCGAATGATGTTTTTGTTAGCGTTTGTTGGGAAGGAAAAAAAACGCGTTTTCTTATTGCGCCTTCAAACGTTATTTTTAATTGACGTTTTAAGCTGAAAAAACGCGTTGCCGATAAAAATCGATGCGTTTCAACGCGCTGTGAATAGAATAGAATGCGTTTCAAGGCGTTGTAAATTGAAAAGGATGCGTTCCAACGCGTTATAATAAAACGGAATGCGTTTAAACGCAAATATAATGTTTTTTTCCCAAAAGTTGGCGTTGAAACGCAAACTTTTATAAAAAAAATTTTCGTGGGAGCCGTAAAGCAGGTAATTGTATGCTGATTTCCCAATGAAAAACTGGAAAAATATTTTGGCACTTGAGCATGAGAAGTAGAAAAAACACAAACTTTGCCCTCGTCGCAGCAAACAAAAATTGAAATTTTGAGAATAAAGTAGCCAAACTCAAAGATTTGTCATTTTTCACACACGATGGTTATTTATTGGTTAAATTTATTATTACTGATCTTCCCAATCAACTATTGGCAGATCGTGAAAATCGAATTTGGATGTGCAGTCATATCATTGTGCAGTCATATCACTATCGGTTCTAAATTCGTTTTAGATTTATGGGATTATTTCAATACGAATACAGCACAAATTGTCAATAATAAAATGGAATTTTTAATCTAAAATATAATCTTATTCCTACATTTATTCTTTAACGTCTAAATGTTTCCACGTTTACTAACGTCTTCATCAGTAGCATAAAAATTTCTAAAAGGTCTTTGTTACTGTTCTTTGTTTTCTATCTTGTGCCTGTATTTAGAATGTGAATTTGAAGTTAGTGTCAAGTGTTTTAAAGTCCGAATTTAGCTGTGTAACATTTTGGAAGGATGGAAGGTATTAAGTTGTTAGCATAATAATGTCATAAATTCATCAAGAACTTCTTTATTTTTTTCTGTTAAATATAGTTCTTTTTTATTTAATTCAGTTAAAATATCATTGAGTATCATTATAGGTATATTCAAAACAGCAGTAACAGTTAAAAATTGACTATTCCAACGACATTTTGTTGCTCGTGGTATTGTCTTTGATAATTTATCTAATTTTTCAGCAAATAAAGTGCTGCTATGACTGAATTTTGCAATTTTTGCAACTTTTGTTAAGGCAGCAGTTGCATTAGATGCATGTTTAATACCATCCTTAACAACCAGCTGTAGCGTATGAGTGAAGCATGGCAAACGTAATAATTCTAAATTTTCACTTACACATTGAATAATATCGTCAGCTAACGGTACTAATTCAAAGTGATCATACGAATCATCATTAAATATTTCTTCACAATCATCATCATCATTATTATTCTGTAAAGAGCCATTGTCATCTTTGTTACAGTCATCATTCTCAAAATATGTTTCAAAACCGGGAAGTAAAATGTCATTGAATGCTTTTATATTATTGACTGCATTATCAGTAATTAAACGTACTAATTTTTTTTCAATATGATAATAATTAATTACTTTTTCAAAATCAGCCAATAAAACATCAGCTGTATGATGACCTTTTAGTGGTGCAAATGATAATAAATATGATTTTAATTCGTCATCAATAAATGTGTGCAACGTAATACCGATATAAGAACGTAATCGTCTATCAGTCCATACATCTAATGTGACTGATACATGTTCGGCATTATTGCATAATATCTTTAATTTCGTAACCATTTTATCATGTAATTTTGGAAGTTTATCACGAGTTAATTGTCGGCGGCTTAAAAGTGAGTACATTGGATCAAATACTTGCATAAAATTCTTAAAACCATTTTGATCTACTAATGATAACGGTACACCATATTCAATTATTAAATCTTTTACTATAGATTCAGTTAATTTAACTTGTCTTAGATCAGTTGATGAATATTTACTTGTTTTCTGTTTAATCATGTCATCAAGATTTCGTTGTTTTGCATCAGTGTTAACATTTTTCTTAGCTAACCATTCTTCATATATAGTTTCATGTTTGGTCTTCATA